TTGTACTGTCAGTATAGGATGAGTGATTTTTTATGAAATCATTTCCATTATATATAAGTTGGTTTTGCTTAGGTATGGCATAAGGCAGTACATACTTGCATATTAAACTTACTCAATGACATATGCTTAGCTGAGGGAAATCACTGAAATATCCACATATTTGAAAGCAGTGGGTAACGGAAAATGAAATACCCACTCAACAATCATAATACCCACTACAAAATAATACAGTGGGTACAGTACCCATTTGAGCTAAATCTTAGCTGTAGCTCAGGTTAATGATGACAAATACAGAAAATACATTGTAATGCTAGGCAGAAAACTTGTTACTAAATTTAACTTGATGTTTGTCATTAAGTGCCTCTTCGTATTTACAGGATACTTTTTTCTATGAAAGATTGCAAACTGTTTACAAAACAGTTATCCCCATTCGATTAACTTAATAGTACATTTGTTTTGTTGTCAAATCATAATCATACTGATAAGTCTATATACAACAAATATAGAGTATTACCTGGAGTCATAGTAATACACAAAAATAACAATAGTAATAATATGTATTACTTTTTCATGTACGTGTACTTGTTTTAGATATGGATGTAACAGTATAAGATACTGAAATCCCAAGCTCTGTTATGAATATTAGCTGAACACATGTACAGAAATAAATTTCAATTTACGTTCCATAATGTCTTGTTTCTCAATTGACATACTATTATGTATGCCAGTAAGTATTACAATTAATACGAGTCAGTATTTGGTGAGACTTGTGTTATGTTTATCGACTTGTGGTGATATATCATACATCAAATGACACTGGGATGAGACTATCTGTATACGCATGTCTTACTAACCTTTTACACTTCTCACATACATTTCATATATGAATATTTTGCAGGACTACAACTGCAGATCAATTTAAGACAACAGTTTAGGGACAATGAATGATACATAGAAAGAGGTTATTTTCTGAAAATCGTTTTTCCATTCCATTTGGTCAAAAAAAATCTTATCAATATTTATTACCTACGAGGCCAACGTATGGGTAGTTGCATATTAATCTCGTACGTCACACGAGTGTCGTATCGCGTTGACCTGTGTCGTGACGACTTGACCTGAGATTCTAACGATTTAATTGGATAACCGATGACCTCTCAATTAGGTCACAGTATGACGTTACTATTTTTCATTCATTCTACAACTTAAATGCATTGTGGGAATGTAAACATTGCGAACGTTGCCGTGTCGCTGTTTAATTGTGAGTCGAACTGAGACATTATATCCGTCGAAAAACATAAACGCAATGTTTACACCAGTGATGTAAGCCGAATGAAGCAACTGGAAACCAAGAAACGGGGTGCTAAGGAGTAGTTTACTGTAGGAGGCTGTACGAGGTGATGACAACTGACATGCATCGTGACGTCGGTTACCAAGGCGGTGACGTCATTACAGTGTGACGTCATGCGAATATTGTACTACAGTACAAAACTCTTCCGCAACCTCTTTATGAAACCGGTTTTGGTTTAAAACCAAAAAACATACCAAAAATACGCTATTTTGTCAATTTAATACATGTAAGACGTGGGTAATAAATAAAATACCACACTCGGTCTCATTACATACGAATTATACGAAACTCGTGACCTTCCTATGGTATCTGACACTCGTTTCGTATACTTTGTATGTAATGAGACCTCGTGTAGTATTCTCTATATATCAAATGCTTTCCAGTTGTTAGAGTACCTTCAACATAGAGAACAAATACACACCACTCCACATTTTCAACTGCCATTTGGCACTGTATTTGCTTGAACCAAGGTGAAGACTTATTCAGCTTTATCACTCCATTTTCATTTTTATACACATTGTAATTCTCAGAACAAATTTCATCAATACTGCAATGTTTGTATCTCCAAGTACATGTAACCTCTAAAAAGGCACCTACCACAACATTTACAATGTACAACACCATCAGGGCTGGCACCAAGATGAGGCATATTTTCATTTACTGATAATCCTGGAACATAAACATTCAGGCCAACATGGTCTATTTTTTGTTTACATTCATACAATTGACGGGCAAGGACTTCACGCTCTTTACTATACATTGCTGGTGCTAATCTTGAAGAGGCACATGTACTACTAACAGCAGATTGACCTCTATACCCAGACATGACTTGCTTTACTATGTAATTGTCACTTATATTTTGACTGTAAATAACACATTTGGAAAGACCGATGCAGTCAGTCGACCACATCGATAATTAAAACAGTTTTCATTATCTGACTGACCCTCAGAAAGTGAATCAATTTCTTCACAATCACTGTTTGTCATGTTAGACTTAACATAATCACTGAAACTGGGAGGTGAAATTGTCAAAGTTTTATTCAAGGCCACATTAAAGCATAGTTTTTGGAAGTGAATGCTAACTTGACTATGATCATTATCCAAGACTACATTCATTTGACAATCTGTGTCCTTAACTAATTCATGCAATGCATTCTGGCCATCAAAACAGCATTCATTACTTGGACGATAATTATTGATTGTATCTGTGTGGCATGGTGAAGTATTGATGTCAGCTAGTTTAAGTGGTAAAGACTCTTTCCTAGCATTGTCCCAAACACACTTGACATCGGTGCAGGTTTCTGTACTCCTGTCCACATGTCTGTCAGACCAGTCAACTATGCTGAACAGTAGGGCAACAATGTGCTTACGAGCAATAACGTGCTTACAAACACCATAATCACGGAAAAAAATATGAAACAGAACTTATTTGATAATTATTAAGAATTTTTGAAAAGGCTAATAAATATTGTAACTTTGAAGTTGTTTTGTAACACTTCACTTAACATAATTCAACTGATTCTGGCTAGACTACATACAGGAAAGTCAAAACTTAGTAGGAAACTACACATAAGAATAATACGTACTCTGTATATTCACATCCTGCTGACACAATACAAGCATTTTTCCTCTCCAGTAGACACCAGGGCCCACTTGCACAGAGCAATCGTAGTTACAATCAATCTTAGGGCCTTACAATCAACTTAACAATCACCATACAATTGCCCTAATCCACTTGCACAAAGCCGATCACAGCGCGATTGTAAGACGACATGGATTTAAGATCGCGACTTTAGCTAAGATCGAACTCTTCAACGAACATTTCCTGTCTACAGTTGACTCCTGTCTGCAGTTGTCTGGAAGTATGCATAGCATGCTGTGCAAATAAGTAGTGGAACTGGTTACTGCACAAAACACATGCCTCTAACAATCGCACCTTGCAGAATTTTCATGAAAAAAATCCCACAAATCTTTGAAGGAAACGATAACGTGGAAGCTAACATATGTAATCACTCGTACTTCGTGGGTTATTCTCTAATGTTTCTACCTTCTAACTGTCTTGAACAAAGAATGTGATATTGCAACCACATAAATATCTGTGAAATGTTTATGAAAATGCAACCACATAAATATCTGTGAAATGTTTATGAAAATATTGAGGTGAGGTGAAATTGGGTTAACGTTGTGCTGGAGAATATTTTGCTCATATGACGACGTGCATGCGCGTGTATGTGTAAGTGCGGCTGCTTGTACTAGCCCAGACTGAAGCTGGTTTAGTGCTAGCCCACTGAGATACCATGCCGCAGTTAAGCATGAATACCCCACTCAGACACATTATACTGACTCCGAGTCGACCAGTCTTTGTTGTACCCATTAATGCCCAGCGCCAGGCAGGGACCAACAAGTACCATATTTTAACGTCTTTTGGTATGACGGACACTCTAACCACTACACCACGGAGGCGGTATGAAAATACTGAAAAACGAAAAAAATACATTAATAAATTTGGGTCTAGATTTAGTGACTAATTAATTATGAATATCAAAAGATAAAAGATGATAGAGCACTTAAATGCATCATAATTTGCCAATGAGACATTGTTGAATACGCATCTGTTCGGGGTTATTTGGAGTAAAATCCCTAATATAAGCGACAAGTATTGGTATTGTAAGGATATTGAAAGGTGACATGACTGCGGGAGTGCTTTGGAAAATGCATAACAGGGAAATATGAATAATCAATGATATTTCGTGTGTGTAATGTGTGTTGTTGAATACCTATTCACAGTGTGTTAATTAATTAACCCCATTTTTCTTATTGTGAAGCAATATTTCACATTTCACACATTTCAAATGCCTCAGCAAGTGTATTTTCCTGTTTGATGAATACTTGTATTATATTTTAAATGCATAGATTAAAACCCTCCCAAAACGTAAAGCTGGTTACTTGCGTGAAACAGACACTAACTTGAACTCCATTTTGTCACAGACTACAATGATCTTAGGTCCTTTCAGCTGGTCCTGACCAATTGTAAGTTTTGATTGTGACTTACAATGATCTTAACCTCCGTATTCTCGAAACGCAATAACAAGCACACAGGATATATAAAGTAAATGGAAAATTACAGTACATCCCAATTGTCTGAAATACTGGGCAGTCATATTTATGACCATTATTCAAGGTAATTACTTGTCACGATCGTTGTGTTCTCGTTCGTTTCAAGCCTCGTTTCCCTACACCTATATGCCTGCATGTAAAGTCAAGCATTAAGTCCGATATTGCCTGTTTGACTGACGCGATGGCGATGTAACTGTGAGTTACCTGTACAAGTCATTGTGTTCCTTGTAGTCTCCAGCCTAGCCCCTCTTTACCTGGATGCCTGTATTAGAGTCAGGTATTATGCCCGATATTATTTTGTCCTGACTAACTGTCATAATGTATGTATATTTTCATATGATGACTGCTGGAAATGGGCGTTATGTCACTGCAACAAAGTGTTCCCACTGTGACATGACAAATTTGTCTGCAATGTGAAAAGATCCTTTTGTGATGAAACATTCCCAGTGTGCTTTGTACCTTGACGATTATGTTTCGTTCATGTTACATCCAGTAATGCTTGGGTGGAGATGAATAGGTCGAAATGCAGTTGAAGTAGTTAAAGCACGTTGTTTATTAGGGAAAGATCAGAGTTACCTCCTGGCATTGAATCTAACAAACTCAAAAGGTAAGAGCGTTCGCTTGTCACACCGAATACCCGAGTGGGATTACACACATCAGTACAACAGTGCTGGTGCTGGTCCCTGATATTGCTGGACTGTTCCTAAAAGTGGCTTAATACGTCAACCTTACTTCTCGCTATGACATAATAATCTAACGAGATATAACTGCCTCTAAATAGCACAGGTTATTTTCAAATGATAGTGTGTTCTCAGTTTACACTGAGTGTTGACAAGAAGGAGAACTATTATAAATAAATGTACAAGAACTAACATTAATCAGAGTTCGCATAGCTCTGAAACATTGCTTGAAAACGACATTTTCGAATGAAGAGTGGCACCCGTGAAGAACCACCTCCTCGTGGTGGGTCCTGGGTAACGTTAAGCGGCTCTTCAACCCCCCCATTGTGGACCCGGGTGTCGGTGGAGGACGGGAGTCTGGTGGTTGAGGGCACTGGTTCCAGGAACAGTGTTCCTTTGCTCAACACACCACTTCGCCCCTACGGGTGGTAGAACTGGCCCAGTTCTATCAATTGACTGGTCACGCCAAACCCTGTGCTACAACTGTATACTGTTGCACAACATTTTCTTAAAAATGATAACATGATTTGTAAGTGTTGACGAAATTATTTGATTTCATAATTTTCAAATACTTAATTTCATGTATGCTTTTGCCTAGAGTCGTATGCCAAGAAGGCGGTGGCTCATGGGCCAATCTGGTGGAATTATTAATCTTTTAATTCTTCTGCTGGAGTATACCATATGGGTATTCTTGGTGCTGGAAGTTGGAAATCCACTTGTTTTTAGCATTGTCCTTGATACTCCGTGGTGGGTGGGGAGCTCGGATGATGAAATCTTATTAACTAAACATGGCTTACGACACGCACGCACGCACGCACGCGCACGCACACACACAGACACACACACACACACTGTTGAAACTGACCTCAGACTGCCCAACTCAAGTTCTTGTGTTTGAAACTATTGACAAGACAGCTTTGATGTTGAATCCTTTCGCTGTAGCTAAAGGTATACAAGGCATTCCCGGTGATGTTAAGAAGATTACGTTCCGGTGCTCTGCTGGTTGAGTGTGCAAAAAGGCAACAAGCCACCAACCTTATGAGTATGGATTATTTTGTCGGCATTCCAGTCACGGTCTCTGCTCACAAAACACTCAAAACAAGCAAAGGGATTATATCAGGGATTGCGATTGATTGTGTGCTGACATGTCAGAACTTGACATCGTCACAGAGATGAAGGATCAAGGCGTGCTATATGTCAAGCGTTTCACAAACCGTAGAAATGATGCTACTATAAAAACAAATACGTATCTCTTTTCTTTCTCTTCTCCAAATATTCCAAAATCACTAAAAGCAGGATACTGTAACATCAACGTTGAAATGTACATTCCAAACCCTCTTAGATGCTTCAAATGCCAAAAGTTCGGTCATGGGGTTAATACATGCATATTGTCTGTTGTGTGATGTAAAGAAATGTAAAAACTGCACTGGTGACCACTCATGATTCCCTAAAGACTGTCCTCTCTGGAATCATCAAATGGATATCAACAAAACAAAATTCACCCGAAACATTAGTTTTGCGGATGCCAAAAAACTGGTCCAAAGCTCTGAACATAAAGACAGCTATGCTTTCGTAACCAAACCATCGTCGGAAGCAACAACAAGCTTAACAAAATGTTTTGCAAGCTGTCGAACCAATTTGACTTGGGTTACATCAGAAGCTCCTTTGATTTTCTCATCTACAATATCTACTCAAACGCCAGAATCACCTCCCTGTACGTCTGAAATTCAAACAGTAGCATCCTCTGATAATGAGTCATCTTCTCAATCAACACCAAAATCTTCACAAATCGTTACAACCAAACGTAAAAAGCCAGATTCTTTGGAAAAAATAGGTGGCAGAACCCCAAAAAGGGTCAGAAAATAGTATTAAATTGTACAACAAATATGGATCACTTAAGGACATGGACGTGTCCGAAAACGTCCGCTCTAGGGCACACAGCTTGTCGCCCACCAAACAAGTGCGGGGTAGACCCCCCATCAATCCCCCCAAGAGATAGGTTATCAAAATAATATCATACAGTGGAATTGCAGAGGACTAAAGACTCATTTCAATGAATTGCAACTATAAGTCCAGGATTTTACACCGTCAGCAATCTGTCTGCAGGAAACATATTTAAAACAGATGGATACTTTGACCCACGCCATTTCAATGCGTATCATTATTTTTCACCTCTAGGTGAAAGGGCCTCTGGCGGATCGTTGATCCTTATCAAACAGAACGTTATCCATAGCCCTGTTGCACTTACTACTAATCTTCAGGCTGTTGCAGTGCGACTAACTTTGCACGGTGCGATTACATTATGCTTTCTCTATATTCCATCTTCTCCATCTTCATTGTTTCACAAAACTGATCTTCAAGCTCTATATGACCAACTCCCGAAGCCCTGTATTATTATGGGAGATTTAAATGGACACATCCCACTCTGGAGTAGTGCAAATACAAACACTAAAGGTAAACTACTGGAGGGGTTTTGTTCAGATAATGATTTATGTATTTATAATGATGGTTCCAACAAAAATTTACACCCTGGTACAGGAACCTATTCTGCTCTTGACTTCTGAGTCACAAATTCGGAACTACTAAATGAATTTGAATGGTCAGTCCACGATGACCTCTGTGGAAGTGACCATTTTCCTACTATACTAAAACCTGTACCTCCATCTGATGTACCTCCATCATCAAGGCGGAATTTTAAAAAGGCTAACTGGGCTTTATATGAAACACTGTGTGCTACAAAACTTAAACCTGAACTTTCTATTGACGTTCCTGATGCTATCAACTGTTTTTCTGATGAACTGAATACCATAGCTGATGAGTGTATACCAAAGTCCTCTGCAATTCCGCATATCCGAAAACTATGGTTCAACGATGAGTGCCAACAAGCTAGTAAGGCAGGGAAAAAAACAGAACATTATTTCCGTCGCCATCCTATGGTGCATATATTAAAATGTTAAATGCTAAAGCGCGGCGTACTTTTATACAGAATAAACGCCAATCTTGGCAAAATTATGTATCCAAAATACATTCTCGAACGCCCATGTCCAAGGTATGGAACATGGTCCAGAAAATTACAGGTAAAGGTACTAAATCTAGGGTCCATCATCTTAAACATGGAGATCAATTACTTACCAATAAATCAGATATTGCAAATAAACTGGGTGAAACTCTCGCTAAACACTCTACCTCTTCTAATTATGTGCCTAAATTCCAACAATATAAAAAAACATCAAGAAAGGAAAACTATTAACTTCAATTCAGATAATGGGGAAGATTATATTGAAACATTTTCGATGCATGAACTCCATACTGCTCTTGAGCAAGCTCACGATACTGCTACAGGTGCTGATAACATACATTATCAACTCCTGAAGCACTTACCAGAATCATGTTTAGAGAGACTCTTACACCTTTTTGATGATATTTGGACATCAGGTAAATTTCCTCCCTCATGGGGTGACGCTATAGTAGTTCCAATACCTAAACCTGGACGTGACCGTACAAATCCGTCAAATTACCGACCTATTTCACTAACTAGCTGTGTTTGCAAAACCATGGAACGAATGATAAATAATCGACTTGTTTGGTACTTGGAAACAAATAACATTTTAACAGATATACAATGTGGTTTCCGTAAAAACAGAAGTACTGTCGATCACTTAGTGCGTTTGGAATCATTTGTTAAAAACGCTCTAATTTATAAACAACACGCCGTGTCTATCTTTTTTGATATTGAAAAGGCATTTGACACTACATGGAAATATGGCATCTTCAGAGATTTACATGGCTTTGGATTACGAGGCCGTTTGCATCAATTTATAGCCAACTTTTTAAATAACAGACAATTTTAAAGTCCGCATGGGTTCAACCCTGTCTGATCATTACTATCAGGATCAGGGTGTTCCACAAGGCAGTATTTTGTCTGTCACACTATTTATTTTAAAGATAAATAGTTTATCAAAAGTTTTAAACGATTCAATAGATGGATCGTTATTTGTGGATGATTTTAACATTTCTTGTCGTGGTCAAAATATGCATACTATTGAACGGCAACTGCAGTTGTGTTTAAACAAGATAAATAAATGGTGTTTTGACAACGGCTTTAAATTTTCTAAATCCAAAACTAATTGCACACATTTCTGTAGGAAATACAAACCACATAAAGACCCTGAACTATCACTTACACTTATCGTTTCTGACACATATTAAATCCCTTAAAACTAAATGCCTGAAGGCACTTGACTTGTTGAAAGTCGTTTCAAATTCTAAATGGGGAGGGGATCAAACTACCCTCCGCCATCTATATCGATCACTGGTCCGTTCCAAACTAGATTATGGCTCCATTGTCTATGGTGGAGCCTGCAAAGGCAACCTACAACTACTTGATTCTGTCCACCACCAAGGCCTAAGACTTTGTCTTGGGTCTTTTCGAACTTCTCCTGTTGACAGTTTCTACGTCGAGGCTGATGAGCCATCTCTTACACAACACCATATAAAATTGTCCTTGCAATATGTGACAAACCTATATTCTAATGAGTCAAATCCTGCATTTAACTGTGTTTTTAATCCTCTTTATGAGGATCTATACAATAAAAAGTCTTCTCTTGTTCCGCCTCTGGGACTAAGAGTCCAACCTTGCCTTTCTGCTGCTGGCATTGAGCTAGAAAATAACTCCTTCCCGTTTGCTTTCTTCTCCTCCTTGGCAATTGGTTAGGCCACACGTTAAACCAACATTAACCACATTTAAAAAGTCAGACACTAATGAATTACAGCATAAACAAGAATTTAATCAATTAAGAAATACATATAATACATACAAATCCTTATTTACAGATTGGTCTAAGGATGGTGGAGCAGTAGCTTGTGGCTCTGTCATTGGCTCCAAAACAATATCTTCTAAATTACCTGATAACAGCTCTATTTTCAC